TCAAGAAGTGTAGCTACTTGGGTGGATTCAGAAGGTCAGAGGTGGAGCTAAGGAATCTGCATTTAAACAAGCATTCCTGGTGATTCCTATATGGTAGAAAAAAAAGAAATCTTAATGACAACCAGATGTAATTAAAGGAGGAAGAAAACCTACATCAAGCCTTTTAAAAAGACTTTATTTTCTTTCTACCCTTTCTCTCCTGATTCAGCCAGTATATGGTCATTCCTCCTTTTCCCCACCCATCTCCCTTTGTGTCTGAGGCATTGGCATTTTCTTAGCATAGTTAGAAAGGCACTCAGTTTAATGTGCAGAGATGGAGTGGAGGAAAAGGAGGAGGGATGTGGGTGGAGAAAGGCTAGATCAGTGTTTAGCTATTCTAACTGCGAAGACTGTTGTTGTCGGGCTGGTTCTAGCCGGCTGGCTCCGGGAGAGGAAGCAGTGGGGAGAGCTAGATTTACTGCAGCTGCTGCTACTGTTCCTTACTTGCTAGTGAAGGTTCTGATATAAGAAACTCACCACCTTTAGCCACATGAATTTTGCAATAATCACATGAAATATTCCATAAAGAACACTATTTTAGATACTGATAACCATCCATAATCTTTTAAAGATTAAATTCTTGTTTATAATTTTCCTCTTTACTACTTTGAGGCCTTCAGTTTTGATCAAATTCCAGCCTGTTTCCTTGTCTTTAAACCCAGGAGGAAATGATTTGCAACAGATGGTGTGTATGGGCCTCGTAAAAATGTTTGCTTGACCTATAATCTACGAACAACTTATGGTTGCTTCATGTGTAAGTGATGCTTTTCTACCTGATGTAGACATACACCTATGAACTCAAGTAGAATCAGAGACGTGTGGTTGGTTGGACCTGGGTAACTGTGTTAGGGAACATGTTGTTTTCATTAAATTTTTGCTTTTATGTGCCTTCCTGTTATCGTCATCTTATCACCAAGAACTTGAAAAATGCTTTGTGCTGCACATCTAGCTATCATATTCTAACCAGCTAATGTGATTGATTAACTGAAATGGGTAGATAACATGTGCATTTCAAGTAGGTCAAATAGTGCAGTTAATTCTAACATCTCTGTCGTCTAAACTCTGGTCTTTACCTTGGCTGCACATTAGAATCCCCTGACTAGCTAAAAAAGAATATTGGTGCCTGGATCCTAATCCCAGCTGATTTAATCAGTTTCTGGAAGCTCTCCAGTACATGCAGTAACCCAGCTGTATTTATTTACTAGTGGCATATTATTGCTTAACTTCCGTAAATCTCGGTTTTCTCATCAGCAAAGTAAAGATCATATTGGCACTACTTTATTAAATTATAAGGATTAATGAGGTAATTAGAACACAATGCACAACACAGTAAGTGCTCATTAAATATTTGGCATAAATATTCAAGACTGATATAAAAATAAACAGCAAAAATAAATTATACAATGTTTAGATATGTGTGGCAAAATAATACAAATAGTTATATATGCATGTATATTTTTACTACATGTCCCTATGAGTGGAAGACCAATTCTATGGGTAAATAATGTCATTGAGATGATATTAAAGCTCCTCCTTTGCCTAAACCAAAACACTTCTAGATTTTTGCTCTTATTCCCAGACACATTAGCATCAACTGGAGAGCTTCCAAAAACAGATTAAATCAGAATATCTGGGATTGGGACCCAGGCACCAATATTTTTCAAATCAGATTTATCTAACTCCAGAAATTCTACGTTACTTAGGCTTCCCAGGGGATTCAACCGACTCTGCTGTCTCCTGAAGAATATTAATTCACTGGTTAAAAATAAGTGGTGCATGATTAAACCAAGACAAACTACTTAAAATACTTTTGAGCATAGCTTTCTACCCAAACAAAGGAGGTATGAGTCCATACCTACCTAAACATATCAACCATGAGTGCTCACAGATTATGATTGAATCTGTGTACAGCCTTTCTGGACCTTGGTTTTCCAGTATGGAAATGGTAAGCTCCAATACTTCATACAAAAATTATGAAATATGAACTTGGTCATTATTTATATGAATATTATCAATATAATGATAATGATAATCTGTTTAAAATAAGCCATATCATTGGCTTTGCGTTTTTTTTAATACAGTCTTGAGTTTTATGTTTTTTTCCTATTAAAGTGAAAAGCAATGTTATATACATTAGGAATATCTTAGAATGTATATGGCACATATTAGCAGTACAATGAAAACTATTTAAAACTGGGCAAGTGGGTTATTAGTCTAATACTCACTATTCACAGTTTTCACCAGTACAACCCACTTTTTCTGTGAGTGCATGGTTATAAATTGGGTTTCTTTTATTTTCCTTCCTTCCTTCCTTCCTTCCTTCCTTCCTTCCTTCCTTCCTTCCTTCCTTCTTTCCTTCCTTCCTTCCTCCTTCTCTCCCTCCCTTTCTTCCTTTCTTTCTTTCCTTTCTCTTTCTTTTCCTTCCTTCCTTCCTTCCTTCCTTCCCTCCCTCCCTCTCTTCCTTCCTTCCCTCCCTCCCTCCCTCTCTTCCTTCCTTTCTTTCTTTCCTTTCTCTCTTTCCTTTCCTTCCTTCTTCCTTTCTTTCTTTCCTTTCTCTCTTTCCTTTCCTTCCTTTCCTCCCTCCCCTCTCTCTCTTTCTTTCTTTCTTTCTTTCTTTCTTTCTTTCTTTCTTTCTTTCTTTCTTTCTTTCTTTCTCTCCTTCCTTCCTTCCTTCCTTCCTTCTTTCTTTCTTTCCCTTTCTTTCTTTCTTTCTTTCTTTCTTTCTTTCTTTCTTTCTTTCTTTCTTTCTTTCGACTTGGTCTTGGATCTTGCTCAGGCTGATCTCCAACTCCTGAGCTCAAGTGATCCTCCACTTCTCTCCTCCACTCCTTGACCTCCCAGAGTGCTAGGATTACAGGCATGAGCTACCAGATCGGGCCTATGAATTGGGTTTCTTTTTATTTATGTCTTTTTGAATCGGGTTTCTTAACAGTGGGATTGAAGGAATAGGCTTAGTATTGTTTATCTATCCTTTGTGCAACTTTTTCCCTATTTATCTTTGGCAGATTTTCATATTTTTAGTATCTCTGTAATCAAGCTTTCCCTTGTTAGCAAAATGCTTCTTTGTCTTTGGGTTGAATATACTTTTGTCTCAGGAGGCCAAATATCTGAGTGGAAGTACATAGTAACATTTTAGTTCTGTACACCTGTGGTCCCCAACTACCCGTCCATGGACTTTGAGGGATCCTGCCACAGAGCTTTGCCCACAACACTGACAGTGGAAAAATTGTCTGGGGTGGTGGGGCAATCCAGAGCCCCATCTCTTGAGTCACCTTGCATCCCCTCCTGAGCTCAGCCCCATCCCCCCTCTTGTGGAAAAATCATCTTCCGTGAAACTAGTCCCTGGTGCCAAAAAGGTTGGGGACCGCTGCTGTAGATTTTATCCTCCTTATTCTGAAGACAGTATATCAAATAGCATGTTTGTCCTCTAGATGTGTCCTTTTGTGAGTAGTTGACTATCCTAGATCACTCTCAGTGGTATAACAGCATAAACACTTAGAATAACAGTCTGTATCAGGCATTAGCCTTATTAACTGATTTGCCTATGAGAACTCAGCGAAGTAACTATTTTTATCCTTTTACAGCTGAGCACATTAAGATACAAAGAGGTTAAGTTACTTTAGAAGAGCACATAGGTAATGGAACTAGAAATCCAATCTAGGCTGTCTGGCTTCACAAGTTGTCACCTCAGGTTATGCTACATTCTCTCGAAGTTCTCTCAATATACCCTAGGGAAATTAGCAACAAACAAAACCCAGGCAAATGGTGAGATTATACTGGCAATAGATTGGGAGAGGAGCATTGAAAAGAAGTTATGAGGTGACTCAGGAAGGATGTGACCTGCAAGAAGACAGATAAGGGCATCCCTGTAACTCACATGGGCTCTGACTAAAAGTTTTTTTGAAATGATCTTACATGTAAACCAGGGAAGTCATCGCTGTCTTTTTTTTGTTTACTATAATCTAGAAACAGTAGTAATGTAGTTGAACATATTCATATTCTTAGCCTTATTTGGATTATAATTTTACTTTATTTTCAAACAGTTTTAGAATTTACGGAATGCTCTTACTTTTCACTCACAGCAACCTCCGAATATACTGCTAATCTTTTCATAACAAAGGCTCAAAGGAAGTTGAGTAACTTGCTCAAGGTTTACACTGGTTTCTAAGTGGCAGAGCTGGCTGTATCTCCCCTGCCTGTGTCTTTAAACCTGCTAGGCCCAGAGCATTTTTGATGTAATTTTAAATTTGCTTCTCCATGTGCAGAGACAGGAATGCCTTTATATATTTTCTCCGTTCACAGATAAGGGGGCTTATGGGTGCTAATGATCTTTGTCTCCAAATCTTTGCCTCCCGGAGGGAGACATCGCGGTAGAGGCTTCTAGGCGGAGGCCCTCGGAAGGCTGGGCGGGCGGCGCAGCAGCGCGGATCCGCAGTCGGGGCGCTGCGCCCCCAGCCCGGCGAGCTCGCGTCAGGGTTCACAGTGCGGACGAGCGGGGCCTGAGGAGGGCGTGTGAGGGCCCGGAGGGCGTACAACGGAAGGGACTAATCTCGCGGTGTCGAGTAGGGAGCCAACCTCGCCCCCCCACCCGTTTTCTTTTCTCAGTGAAGACGGTTTGGGGCGGGTGGGGCAGCGCGTCCTCGGAGCGTTCTCGCGCTCCCCCTTCCCTCCCTGCGCGCGCGCTCTCCCACCTCCCTTCCGCCCGAGGCCTCCGCAGGCTGCGAGCGCCGACTGGGAGCTGGGAGGGCGGGTCTCAACGCAGGTGTTAGACCCGTCGGCCTCGTTCGGCTGGCTGGCCCGGCCCCTCGCTCGCCCTGCCGCTGTCCCCCAACCCGCTGCGCCGCGAGGGCGGGGCGGGGCGCGCGCTGGTCCTGTGCACGCGGGCTGGCGGCGCGCGGCGCCTCGGTCTGGGGAGCGCGGGGCGGTCTCCGCCGGCGTCGCGCGCGCTGTGTGTGAGCGGGGTCGCGCGCGCGCGCGACGAGCGAGTGAGGGAACGAGGAGCGGCCGGGTGTGAGTGGAGGAGTGTGTGTGGGGGTGGGTGTGTGGGAGTGTGTGGGAGTGCGGGTGAGGGAGAGGCCGGCTGACCGGGAGGCTGAGAGAAAGTGGGCGAGTGTGCGAGGACGCTCGGCCTGGCCGCCGGAGCCGCGATCGGCGGAGGAGAAAGGCGGCTCCCGGCATCCCGACCCCCTCCCCCTCCTCCGACTCCAGCCGGCCCTGCGGCGCGCGCTGCCTCGGAGGCCCCAGCCAGGCCCCGCCGGCCGAGAGCGAGGGAGGAGCCGCCCGAGCCAGGTGAGCGGTACGGTCGCGTCCCTCCCCGGGCGTAGGGGAGTGAGCGGCGGCGCGCCCTCCCGAGTGGGCGAGTTCGGCGGAATGGACTCCGCGTCGAGCGGGGCCCGCCCGGGAGGGGAGCGGGTCGAGCGCGCCTGGGCCCGGGGTTTGTGAAGGCCGGTGGTCGCTCGGTGCCGGCGTCGGTGGGGCAGAGCCCGGCCCTCGCGTGTGGGGGAGGGGCCCGCCGGTGCCGGGAGAGTGAGGCTGAGGGAGGCGAGGGAGGCGGCGCCCGGCGTGGAAGAAGTATGGTCGCTCCTGTCGGCGAGGGGGTGTGGTAACCCTGGGAATGCGTGTTGGAGTAAAACCTGCGGGTTGCCAACCTGCCCTCTGGAGTGTAGTAGTCTCACTGCCCCTGCCTCCTTGCGACAAATTCTGAGGTGTGACCGAGGGAGGAGGATAATGTGCTGCTCATCCTGCAGTTACTGTTTTCAATTCTGTTTCCTTACGCGCAGTTTTAGAGTGTGACAGTCATTGCCCCTTTGCCTTTGACAGCCCTTTAAGAAGGGGAGGACCAAATAATTAGTTGCTTGCCTAGTTTGGATTTTTAAAATTTGCGCAATGTATATATTATCCTCCCCTCCAAAAAAACTCACACGGGATAATAACTTAAGTCTTACCCTATTAATTTATCCTCTTCTCTAGTCGCAGATTGGTAATTCCGGTATTTTATCCTATTTGTGTTTATGGATAGAGATGTGTGTGTGTTTATGTTTTTTTTCTTTTTAGTTTTTAGCACTCTATGTTGGACACTGAGGAGTGTTCATTCTACGAGTGGGGTTATTCTAGTAACAGTGCTGAATGTAACTTCTGTGTAAACCTTTCAATGTGTTACTTTGCTATTAGTAATGTATATTGTTCCCACGTATTTGTGGAGTTGGGTTAAGTTCTAAATCGGTATAGAAAGTTTATGGGCAGTTTAATATGGAACATTTTTCTTTTTGTGGCCTTGTTATATTGGCATTCTTAATTATGAACTATAACTTAAAATTGAAATGTTATTTAATTTTCTTTCACAATATTGGGTAGATTAAAGATAATTTCTTTTTTTTTAAATGGTTTCTTAAAAGCAATCATCACAATACTTTTAAGATATTTATTTGGAAGAAAACACTCTGAAATTCCAGTCATGGAGATTCAACACTTAAATTTTAATATGTAAAACTCTAATTATAAAAATTATCATAGTTAAATTTATTTTCTAATGGCTACTGTGTTATTTGAGGAGGAGATCTATTTTTAAGGTATTCAATCTTATGTTTATTCCTTTCTATCTTACGTGCTGTTAATTTTCTTCTTTCATGTCATTGATTTAGTTATTAGTTTGGCAACATGGCTGTTGATTTTTTTTATCTTTCTCTGTCTCCTTCTCTTGTCTTCTCTTATCCCTACCAGGTGCTGGAGACTCCTTGTCAGGGAGGGGGGCAGTCTGTGATTCTGAGAAAACAGCCAAGAAGGGAAACAGCAAATTCAGTCACATACAATTCTCCACTCAGTCAAGAGCCACTTTTTTCTTCCGCCTTTCTCCCTACAGGGGGGTAAGGAGTTGAGTATGTAACCTTTAACCCATTGGCTACCAGCTAAAATTCCACTTAGTTTTTAGTGTATAGCTTTTTTATTTTTCCCATGTTTCCTTAGAGTCCCTAATGAATATACTCATGCCAGTAGTAGCATGAGTACTAGGAGTGGAGGAGAGAGTGACAATAAATTATATCTTATTTTCCCTTTTCTCTTCTCATTCAGTCCCTTTTCCCTCTCCAGGGGGAAATTACCAGCAAAATCTTCTACCTCTTCTCAGCCATATAGTAAAGAAACACACTGAAGTGGACATTCGTATTTTCTCTGACCAATGAACACAAACCAAATCTCAGGCATTGATTTGTTGGGACACATGGAGAAACATTTTTTTCAACGTATCTCCCAGTTCCCCTTTTCCCCAGTTTGTACCCACCTAGGATTTGTTGCTGGGGTAAGTTACTACTAGGTTCATTACCCAAAGCTCCCCTCTCTGAGCTGAGTGATCAGTCATGAACACTAGTAGGGGCTAGGGCAAGAGATAGAGCAGTGCGAGTTGTTCCATACTTTGGGAAGCAAGAGTAGCTTTTGTCATCTTCCTCTGGGGAGCAGGCATAGAGACTTAAACTGAGTGAAAATGGGTGGAGGAAGAACTTCTATACCCACGAGCAACATGTGAAGAGTGAGAGAAAACCAAACATAAAGTAAGGAGGGTGAGTTATATTGTATGTTGCTTGTTGACAACTGTTTTGGGGGCACTTCAGAGATAAGAATTCAAAGACTCTTTTATGGCAGATTAGTTTACTAAGAGTATTCTGCAAGTAGGATTCCGTCAAAAGCATATGAGAAGAACCTTTAGAAATTGTGATGGTTATGCTATTTTAAAATCTTAGGGAGAAAGAGACTTTGATAGTATTTTTTAAATGTTACCTGCCCTGATTTGTGTAATTTGAAGAGAAGTAGAGTAGGGAGATTAGGTGCAAATGTTGGGGAAATTATCTTATTTGGAAAATTTTCCTGCTGATCATATTTAGGATTGTTAATAATATAGCCTCCTAAAATATCTGTACCTAATATTTTAAATTCATGTGCTATATGTAATGGTGCACATCTTAGATATGCAGAAAAGAAGGATTGGCTTTCTGGCTTCATGGTAACTAATGCCATGGTGTTATTTTTAATGTTTCTTTTCCAGTGTTTTTTTGCCTCTAAAAATTGGCTTAGAGGACAAAAGCCATAGAGCTAGCCAGCTCTACTCCCTTAGAGGCTGGTCTGCATAGAACCCATCTGTTTATATCTTTTTTCCTCTTACTGAAATTATATTTTTGTTTGTTCATCTAACTCTCTCGGTTAACAAAACTAATTATTTCAGGATCAGTTGTATGATGATGGAAACCAGCATTATGCTTTTTTAAAAAAAAAGTTGAAAAAATAAATTATGAATTTTTCATAGCTGCAGTTACATCTTGCAGGGATACACATTTGCCTGGTATTTAATATTGAAATAGCTGGGGTTTTTTGTTTTTTGTGGTGCTTCCTTATGATTTGATATAGCAAACTCTTAAAATATCTCCTATCCCTTACCTTCTCCGTCTGCAATACGTCAGGTTCTGTATTGCCCACTGGGGATAACAGCAGAGAATAAAGCGAATATGGGCTCCATATTCATGGAGTTTAATCTTTATACTTTTCATCTGTCAGTCAGTTCTCCCAGCAGTGTCTGGAAGAGTCTAGTAGATTCTCGTGAAATGTCTACAAGTTTGTGACTTAATGACTTTGTAAAGGAAAAATCTATTTAATCATTTACATACCAGATTAATTTTAGTATCTTTTATTTCAAAAGTGGCAGTACATAACCAGGTTGTGACAAAAATTCAAATCTACCTCTCCCTTAAATGTTTTTATTCTGTATTTAGCTTGTTAGATTCCATTTCTTTCTTCTGATACTAGCTCTTGGCCTTGTGTTCCTTACAAATTTAGAAATAAGGTCTTCGAAATAGAACATGGAATTGCTATATAACATCAGACCACTTTTCTTACTGCTGTACTCTCTCATTTTGCATAGCAGTTTAAGTTTTGATACTTTATCTGTCGGAAAACTGTATCTTGAAAATCCAGGCAGGTTTGTCCAAGTAGAAACCTTGGAATTCTTCCCTGATGCTTTAGAGTTCTCAGTTGTAGTTTATTCCTTTACCATGTGATTTTTTTTTTTTCTTTTTAAGGGGACACAGTCTTGCTCTTCCCTAGGCTGGAGTGCAGTGGTTTGATCATAGCTGAGTATAACCTCCAATTTGAACTCAAGTGTTTCTCCTGCCTTATCCTCCAGAGTAGCTAGGACTATAGGCATGCACCACTGCACTGGGCTAACTTTTATTTTTTGTACAGAGGGCTCTTGCTATGTTGTCCAGACTGGCCTCAAAGTCCTGGCCTCAAGTGATCCTCCTGCCTCAGCCTCCCAAAGCACCAGGGATCAAAAATGTGAGCCACTGTGCTTATGTGGTTTAGCCTTGGGCTTGAGTAAATGAATAGCTTTCTAACTCCTTTTTCAAATGTAATGTCTAGAAGGAAAATTTGGAGGGAAGGCCCAACATTTATCATGTTAAATATTGAGGAACTTGGCGCTATCCTGTGCATTGAATTCCAGGAACTTTTTCAAATTTTGTGTCATGTTCCAGAGGTACTTTGATGAAACTTTCCTCTATTAAGTGAAATCATTAGTTATATTTGAATTCCAGAGAAACCTTTTTTTAAAAAAAATGTTTAGTAGGTTTTGCATATTACAGACTATTTTGGGAATTTTAGTAACTAAGCTACAGGTAATTTAAGTAAAAGGTAACATTTTTCTGACTCTAGGTGGAAATGTGTATTTTTTTTGCAGTTAACTTATGACTTTTCCAACACTTTGTTGTAAAATACACATAAAATTTACCATCTTAACAATTTTTAGGTGTACAGTTCAGTGGTATTAAGTACATTCATATTAGTTGTACAGCCATCACTGTCATCCATTTCCAGAACTCTCTTCATCTTGCGAAACTGAAACTCTGTGTAACAAACCTGTGGCCTTCTGGATGCTTGAGTGCTGCCTTTTGACTGAATCCAAATTTTACAAGACAAATCCTTTTTATAAAGGGATTTATTCTGTGTAGGTGGATTTGGTGGAGGGTCTGCACTTGGGGATCTAGAGGGCCACAGGTTCTCCATCCCTATGAATTTGACTGCTCTGGATACCTCATAAGTGGAATCTTCCAATATTTGTCTTATTGTGACTGGCTTATTTCATTTAGAGTAATGTCCTCAAGGTTCATCCATGTTGTAGCATGTATCAGAATTTCATTCCTTTTTAAGGCTGAATAAGATTCCATTGTGTATGGGTGTATGGGTGTGTGTGTGATCTTTTCCATGGTGGCTGCAGCATTTTTCATTCCCACCAACAGTGCACAAGGGCTCCTATTTATCTATATCCTTGTCCACACTTGCTATTTTCTGTTTGTTTGGTGGTATAGCTATACTAATGGATGTGAAGTGGTTTTGATTTATGGGGTCTTTTGGTAGAGTGCATAGTAGGCACATTTAATTGGATGCTTAGTCTTGTGTACTTATATAATAGTTCTCTTAGGTTCTTAGTTTACCTGAGATTGTGACTAATTTTTGACTTGAAGTTTGCTAATATTTTTATATTTAATAGTTTAATAGTTTCTGTTAGAATATAGAAATACTTCACAGAGTTGTGGTGAAATAACTATAAACATAAAATAACAATATGGTAATACTTAGTGTGAGAAGGTCCTGCTTATGAACACTCAGTGCCACTACTTCCTGAAGTGCAAAACTTGATGTCAAGGGTGTAATTTCTTACAACTTATGAATGAGGTATGATAAGCATATAGTTGTTCAAATAAGGTTTTGTGGCCTGTAACAAAGAATCCCCAAATATCATTCATGTAAATAAGATAGAAATGTATTTCTTTCTCATGCAAAAGAGGTAGTAGGGAGTCCAAGGCCATGGCTCTTATATAATACAATTGTCAGGGTTCAAATTACTAACACATAGCTGTGCCTTTCCTAGGGTTGACACCTGTCCTTGTAGTCCAGATGGTTGCTAGTGCTGTAGCCGTAGCATCCATATTCTACACAGCAGAATGGAGGAAGGGCTGAGGAAGTATATGCCTCTTAAGTATGGTTTCTGGAAGGTGCAATGCAGTACATTCATGCAGATCTCTCTGGCCAAAATTTAGTTATATGACCATATCTAGCTGCAGGAAAGCCTAGGGAGCACTGTCTTTTAGTTACATGGCATTGTGGTCAGTTAAATAACAGGTATATTACTACTAAGGAAGAAGTAGAAAATGGATATTGGGAGACAACTGGCAACCCCTGTTTTAGAATGTGTGGAATTTGATTTTGAAGTCACTTTGAGCCCCACACTGTCTTATTGTAGAAGACTTTAGACAGTTATCTAACCTCTCTACTAGAACAGCTTCACTGCTAGACAAAGACCATAACACCTCAAAGAGATAGTTTTATGGATTAAATGATACAGATGAACCATGTAACATTGTATTTGGTACATATAATCAAAAATGTGAATTTATTTTCTTTATCCAAATTCTCTTTGTCCTGATTACTTTGAAAAAGAGTACAAAGCAGAAAATTTTAATTCTGGTCCTGGTTCTATAATTGTGGTATGTTGAGCAGGTCTTCTTTTAAAATGGGGATAATATATGCCTGTGTTCCTCATGTAATTATTATATACAGATTAAATGAGAAGATTTATTTAGAAAGTGTTTTATGAAATGTAAATGAACATGTCTTTTAACCTCTCACGTGTATGCCTTATTTTGCACTGTTTCTTTGTGTAAAGAATTAGAAGGCATAAGTACTTTTCTATATATTTCTAAGTGTTTCCTTTTCTTATGCTAATTGCCTTTTCTGTTTCTGGGTGAACACTCAGGTTTTACTCACTTTTTGCAGTGTTTAACAGAGGAACCATATTGAGTTTGAACAGGAAAATGATTATGTATATGTATAATAATACAATGCAGACTCATGGAGGAAGGATAAGTTTAGGAGGCAGGGAAAACTTAACAGATGTGTTAACATTTGAGCCCAAAGTTTATACTAAGTAGGTAGGTCTGGGGTATATATTCTAAGCAACAGGAAACATGAGAGAATAATGTATGTCCAGAAAATTGGAAACGAGAGAGGTCAGATTAGCTTGGAGATTTTTATAATATTCCAGGTGTCATATGTTGAATACTGGAGATGAAGAGGAGGAAAATTCAAGTGATATTTAGGAGATAGAATTAGCATTGTGTGTATGCATTTGTGTAAGCAGTGATGGAAAGATGGAAGTAAAAAATGATTCCCAGTTTTCTGAATTAAGTGCCTTAATTAGGCTAAGTGTATCAGGGTTCTCCAGAGAAAGAACCAATAGGAGATATAGATATATACATAATAGAGGGCTGTTCCAAAAGTGTATACACACACACACACACTTCTTTAAGGAATTGGCTCATTTGATTTTTTTTTTTTTTTTTTGAGACAGAGTCTCGCTTTGTTGCCCAGGCTAGAGTGAGTGCCATGGCATCAGCCTAGCTCACAGCAACCTCAAACTCCTGGGCTCAAGCAATCCTGCTGCCTCAGCCTCCCGAGTAGCTGGGACTACAGGCATGCGCCACCATGCCCGGCTAATTTTTCCTATATATTAGTTGGCCAATGAATTTCTTTCTATTTATAGTAGAGACGGGGTCTCGCTATTGCTCAGGCTGGTTTCAAACTCCTGACCTCGAGCAATCCGCCCGCCTGGGCCTCCCAGAGTGCTAGGATTACAGGCGTGAGACACCGTGCCTGGCTGGCTCATTTGATTTTGAGGATCACTTGAGCCCAGGAGTTTGAGGTTGCTGTGAGCTAGGCTGACGCCAGGGCACTTTAATCCGGGGAAAAGAGCAAGACTCTGTCTTAAAAGAAAAAAAAAAATCAGTGATAATAGTTGAAACCTGGATGAGGATGACATTTCTAGAGAGTGTAAAAGCAAAGTTTAAGAATGGAGCTCTGGGGGATTATGTATAGAAGGAGAGCTGTAAGGAGAAAAGGAGTTATAGAAAAGGAGACTGTGAGGAAGTGCTTAAAACTTAAGATGCACAAATCTGTTATTTTTCTTCACAAACCTGAAATTTTTTCCCCCCTGGTTCGTTCATTTGTTTTTATCTTACAGATTGTGTTGAATGCAAGTCAATTCCATAAATAAGTTACTATGAATTAAAGCATAAATACACAAACATGATATACAATCTAAAACAGATGTATGGCATTCAGATATGAAGCAAAAGGGAGTGTGCATTCAGACACACAGTAGCTTCAGATCTGGCCTGTTTGGTTATGCCTATACAGGTTTCTAAAGATAGAAAAAAACGAGTTTGGTCACCAAGACTACTGTGGTCATATTAGAAACTGGAACATCTAAGTGTCAGTTTGTGACCATGTAAACAAAAGTCTCCATGCAGTATCTGTTCTTGAAAAAGGTTTCTATGTGTTAAGGCAGTGGTAAGTTGAGATTTACTGCAGAATCAAGCCTGCTTTTAGGCTTAGGAGCAGGTTCTAACTATCAAAAAATATTGACTCATGAGGATAAATGTTTTAACTGTGGCTATTCTGATCCATAGTTTTTTGTTGTTGTTTTTTTAAGTATTTACAGAAAGAGTATAGGAATTTTTGTGATTTTAATGAAAGTTAGTAGCTTCCAGTCTTCACTTCCCAAATACTTGATTTACAGTTTTGGATCCTTTGAATTTTTGCTGTTTTAATTTCAAGACTTGTAATTTTGCCTTCAAAACAGTTTATTTCTTAAATTGTAAAATATTCAACATGTGCAGAAATAAAAAGCACTTTGAAACTAGTTGAGGTCAGTGCAGTTCTGCTCTTTGGAATCAGTTTAGGTAAATGAATCTGGTGCTCTTGTTGAATGGAAACCGATGCTACGAAATGCCTACCATTTGCATCTAAGGATATTTAAGAGTTACTCATGCTTGGACTTGGGGGAGAGTCTACTTCTTCATTGCCCTGGCACATGGCAATTACTACAAAAATGGTCAAATACAAAGCCTCAGAAGAAAAGAGTTCAGTTCCCAAGAGAACATTGATAACTTAACAGTGTAAAACTTCATCTAGAGTATATCAGCATTAAATTAGTACTGCTGGAACAATACATTGAGGTTCCTTCTTAGTATGTGTGTAAGTTGGGTTATTAATATATCTAGGTTAGATATTCTGCATTTATCATTTAATAGAAACTTATGCCTTTGAGGCAGTGGATCATGGGATGTAGGTAGGTTAAGAGTGGTAGGTGGGCAAGTGTGGCAGGCATGGCAGGTCAAGGTACAGGGAATGTGTGCTTTTGTTAGCTCTGGTGGTGTCTCTGCCCATCAGTGCTCTGGTCTCACCATATGTGTCTGTGGAGCAGGCCTTCCTGGCTGTTACGTGGACCACTCTCCCGAATCTGCTGAAATTGAGGAAGCTGCTGATCTGTGTGGCCTTTGCTTCCTTCTAATCTTTGCCCTTGCCCTTTGCTTCTGCATTGGGTTTGCCATATCATCTGGAATAATACTTGAACGACTCTTAAAATTTCATTTTTTTAATAAAAATTTTAAAAATCTTTTTGTTCTCAAACATAACTTTTTATTGCTTCTCAGGAAGATAATTTTCATCTGTGGTATTGTTCATGATATAAACTTAGAGAAATGACACTCTGACTAGGGAAAAAGTCTTCTTTTTGGTATTCTAAACTTGATTTGTTTAAAATATTTTATTTAAAGAAAGAATAAAAACATTGAGTAAGCATGTAGTCCTGACTGAAATAATCAAAATTTGTTGAGTAGATCTGAACATTTATTTTGATTAATTTAACATCAGCATTGATGCTTGTGTAAGTAATACATGTGCTAATATCTCTTTTCCTACATATCTAAAACAAGAAGAAAATTGAATATAAAACTAACCACAGATACAAAATATGCTTAATTGAGGTTTCTAGTGATGGGAAAGATGGGGATATTGTTGATGATGGAATTTCATCATGAAGGGAATTGCATTTTGAGGAAGGGGATAAAACAGTGAAAAGTTGGTGATTAGATTAAAGTGTGTTCCTAGACAGTGTAAAACATTAGAGACTAGTACTGAAAGTCTTCTAAGTGACCTGCTTTTGTTGTTAGGCTGCATTGCCAGCTTCCCCAGGGGAAGATGAAGAAATCTTATTTCTGGAGGGGTTGCCAGTTTCCATATTACTAGTGGTATAAAATTTTTAATTTGAATAAAAGGGGAAAATACATAATATCTCTTTGTTTTTCCTATTTGTATAGTTAGCATATTATCGTGACATTAACTTGTGTGAAATCCAAAAATCAAGTACATTTCTTGATTTACCTTATGTATTTTCTCTTCCATCTAGATAGACTTTACATTTAAGAGGAAACCACACGAAAGAAGAACAAACAGATCAAGATGTGTAGCTCTGTGGCTGCCAAGTTGTGGTTTTTGACAGATCGCCGCATCAGGGAAGACTATCCCCAAAAAGAGATCTTACGAGCATTGAAGGCCAAATGTTGTGAGGAGGAACTGGACTTTAGGGCTGTGGTGATGGATGAGGTGGTGCTGACAATAGAGCAAGGAAACCTGGGTAAGTCTCTACAAAGTCATCTTTTAGATTTTTGCCTACAATATAGTGAATCTGCTTTTTTTTTTAAATAGAGACAATGTCTCTGTCACCCAGGCTGGAGTGTAGTGAAGTGATCACAGCTTACTGCATCCTAGAACTCCTAGGCTCGAGCAGTCCTCTTGCCTCGGCCTCCTGACTAGCTACCATGTTTCCCCGAAAGTAAGACCTACCCGTAAAATAGGCCCTAACAGGATTTCTAAGCATTTGTGCAATATAAACTACCCCGAAAATAAGACCCTAGTGATGGACATGGCTACGCAGCATATCTGCACAACCCATGCATTTCATTATGGAGCAGTAAAGAAGATGAGCAGCCCTTCTCATCTGCCCCATGAGAGCTCTGTTGCTTGACATGAGAGATCAGGGCCAGTGGTTTTAAAGGAAATAGAGTCGCAAGAAATTCAGGATGGAATTCAGGGTTTGGAGAGTTATGATGTTCTAGAAGACGACGACTTAACTATATTTGAATAAATGTAGATTGTTGTACCGTACTTAAAAAAAAATAACTCATCCCCTGAAAATAAGCCCTAGGCTGTCTTCTTGAGGAAAAATAAATATAAGACCCTGTCTTATTTTCGGGGAAACACGGTGGGACTACAGGTGTGTGCCACGATTCTTGGCTAAATTTTAAAATTTTTGTGTAGATGGGGTCTCAATATGGTGCCCAGGCTAGTCTTGAGCTCCTGCCCTCAAGTGATCCTCCTTCTGCTACTGTGCCCAGCCCACAGTTCTTTATTCTTTAATTTTAAGTCGAGATATAATTCATTTGATAAACTGCATGGATCATCTTGTATTAGAGGGTATTTTGAGTTGTTTCCAGGTCAAAACTTTGAATAAGCCAGCTATGAACAAGTCTTTTTGATGACACTTGTTTTGATTTCTATTAGGAAAATAACTCCCTATTTAAAAATGGCTGTATAGTATTCAATTGTGTAGAATTGTGATTTGGAAATATCTGCAGACATTTTTGTTTAAAAATAGTTGGGTAGGAGGTTGCTACTGGCAGCTAGTGGATAGAGGCTAGAGATGCTACTACGTATCCTTTAATGGATAGTAGAGTTCCCCCAATAATTATTCTGTTCAGAAATTAGTTCTTGAATTTATACTGTACATATTTTTATCTGGAAACTAAACTCATCTCGTTAAAGCAAAAACCAAACACATTTGAAAATCTTTGCTCAAAGGGTTACCACATCTTAACTTCAGGATCTATTATTTTGAAGTTACAAGATGAAGTCTATCATGTAGCATCTATTATTTACTATCATGGCTATGAATAAATATTGAGGGGGAAGTTTCTATTATTAATTAACCTAAATATAAGGAGCAAAATGTCTTAAATGTGGAACTGAGAGGAGGAGTTAACTTGTATCCCACATTATTTTATAAAAATAGATATATTTTTGTTTATTTAAAATAAAAAGCATCTTACTTCCAGATGGAGAAAATAATACCAAGAGGCATACTGAATCCAGCTCCTCTGTTCCAGTTAGCCATTGGTTAACCTTAGAAGCTCTTTGTAGTCCTTTCAGGAGACTTAAAGTTAACTAAGCACAGAATACATTAAGGACCAGAAATTCCCTTCAGGGGAAAACGAGGAGAATAAAGTAGTTTTCTTATATTTGCCATCCTCTGGAATATACTCCTTAAGCTATATCTAATAGGCAATAAGAAAAACTGTCCTAATTGTTTCTTTGGGCACAGGAAATCTGTAGGTCAAATAAAAAATATGTGTTTTCCTTGGCCATAGAGCTGAAGAATATCTGGTAATGATGTGAGCTGTGAAATATTGCTGCTTACTAGATCTGCTATTATCGGGCAGGCTAAAAAAAATGTTTTTTTAAATGCACAATTACCAGAGGACTAAGCTTAAAACAGAGGAAGTATTGCTGAGTTGATGAGCTACATAATTAGCTTTGGGGCAAAAATTTTGAAACTGTTTGCTTATTTTTGTTTAATGAAGTATTTGTGGGAGTGGTTATTGATTCAGACTTTTTGTTGTCTGTATTATTAATGTCTTCAGTGGAGTAGGTTGGCTAATTTTGTTAAAACTGAAATATCTCCTCAAATGGTAGTGTTTTCCTGTTTTGGAGTTGGAAACCATTGCTAGTTCTTTCTATTTTAGTTTTAAAGATGGACCTAATTTTAGAAGGCTGCAAAATTGGTGTGTGCTTGGTAAAATTACTTTCTTTTAATAAGGTGATATTTAGGGATGTTGGGTAATTTCTCTAATCAGAATGAGTCTATTATCCTAGTACTTTTTAAAACTTTCATTTTGAAATAGTTTCAAATTTATAGAAGTGTTGCAAAAATAGTACAAAGAAATCCTGTGTACTGTTTATTCAGTTTCCAGCCATTGTTAACATTTTGCCACATTTGCTTTACTACTCTGTACTTCCTGGACTATTTAAAGTTGAGGTCCCTCAGATTAAGTATTTCCTAAGAACAAGTATATAACCTTACTACTCTTAGATTCAGGAATTTTAATATTATTGTAATACTATTAACTAATATGTAGTAAATACTCAAAAAGTAGAAGTTTCATTATATAGCATTTTTCCTTCTATCCAGGATCTCTTCAGTATCACATTACATTTGTCATGTATTGTTAATTTACTTTATTCTTGAATTGTTTCTTTGACTTTCCTAATCTTTTTAGATATTGACATTTTTGCAGAGTACAGGTCAACTTTTCTGCAGAATGTCCCACAGTTTGGGTTTGTCTGATATATACTAAGTTATAGTCAGATTATGCAGTTTTGGTAGGAATATCACATAGCTAAATGCTGTACTTCATAATACTTTACATCAGGAGGCATATGCCAATTTTCCCCATTCTTTGATTACTCGATTAAGGTTTTCTGGGTTTCTTTACTGAAAGATGCTGTATTTCCCTTGTTAATAATGGTTTTAGCCTCTTGGTGAATCTTGCCTGAATCAGTTCTTACTATGATGTTCTAAAATGGAGGTTGCCCCCCATCTCTATCATTCATTCTATATTTATTTGGCATTCTGCCTTAAAGAAGCATTTTCTTGTCTCTTTGTTTTGTTTCTTCTCTCCCAAAGAAATTTCACTGTGTTGCTCAGGCTGATCTCAAACTCCCGGGCCTCCAGCAGTCCTCCCACCTTAGCCTCCCAAGCACCTAGGATTACAGGTGCATGGCACCACACCCAGCTCCTTCTGTTATCTTTTGGGTTAATGGTTTTTTCATTATTCAAAAAATTATAATCCATTAATGTCATCATTTTGCTTAACTTGGCAGGGTTAGGGCCAGTGACAGCCCTTCAGGCTGGCTCCTATGTCCTTTTCATATGTGCCCTTCATTTTTGTAGCACTCCCTTACTTTTCAGGCCCATTTGTTCTTTCCTTGTTATAGTCCTGTAATCAGTAATTTCTTCAGAATTCTGATTCCTTTAAGTGAGACTTAGAAACCAGAATCTGGGTGAGCAATGTTTTCTTAAAAATTGATTTTTAAGATTATTTCCTATTAGCTTTAAATTTACAAGGATACATACAGATTGCTATGTATATATTAAAAGCCAAACTATAATAATTAAAATTATTTTCAAATTATTAAATCTATAGCCTTTTGGGTAAATTGTTTAATACTGAGGTAATATTTGTGGTATTTTCTTCCCAACAGTATTTCAAAAGATAGGATGTTGGTTAATGGTTTTCGAATATACATTCTATGTTTCTAGTGAAGAACATGAAGTTTAAAATGGTATTTTTCATGAAAAGTGTATGTAGTAATACCTTAGAGCTCATTTTGAAAATACAGTAACCAAGACCTATAGTGGTGATTTGTTCGAGATTCCTTAAAATGTCTTTTCTCCTGGAAAATATTTGGATGGTCATCAGTGATGTTTTCCTCTTGACTATTTATTATTCCAGAAGACTTTAAAATGTTTTTGTCTTGGCTGGGCCGGGTGGCTCATGCCTGTAATCCTAGCACTCTTGGGAGGCAGAGAAGGAAGGATAGTTTGAGCTTGGAAGTTCAGGACAAGCCTGAGTAAGAGCAAGACCCTGTCTCTACTAAAATTGGAATTTAGCTGGCCAAGTAAAAATATATAGAAAAAATTAGCTGTGCATGATAGTGCATGCCTGTAGTCCCAGCTACTTTGGGAGGCTGAGGCAGGATTGCTTGAGCCCAGGAGTTTGAGATTGCTGTGAGCTAGGCTGACACCAGGGTACTCTAGTCCAGACAGCAGAGTGGGACTCTGTTTCAGTCAATCAATCAATAATCTGTCTATCTATTCTATCTAATCTATCTTTTGTCTGACTCCAGGAAAAAAATGTTGCCAAAATATCTCAGTCTACATAAGAAGAGAAAGGAAGAGTAGAGTTGTAATTTTGTTAGAAGCATAGAGTTCATGGTATAAGGCAGTGGTCTCCAACCTTTTTGGCATTGGGACTGTATTAATGGAAGACAATTTTTCCACGGATGGTGGGTGGGGAGGGATGATTTCAGGGTGGTTCAAATGCGTTACATTTATTGTGCTGTCAAACCTATTTGCTAATGATAGTCTTTATTTGCAGCCACTCACCAGGGCTAGCATCACCACTTCACCTCCACCTCAGATCATCAGGCATTAGATTCTCATAAGGAGCCTGCAGCAACCTAGATCCCTCACATGCACAGTTTACAGTAGGGTTCGAGTTCCTGTGAGAAGCTAATGCCATTGCTAATCTGACAGGAGGAACTTATGCAGTGATGTATGTGATGGGGAGCAGCTGTAAATACGGCTTCACTCACTGCTGCTCATCTGCTGTGCAGCCCAGTTTCTAGTAGGCCACAGACCAGTACCATTCCATGGTCTGGTGTTGGGGACTGCAGGTATAAGGTACTTCTCCTTATGGGGAAGGGGTGAGGAGGAGTAATACGTCCCCATGGCCGCCCCCTACCCCCACCAAGCTAATTGGTGAGGGAAGTTCTAAGAGATTGATTTATAGAGATACG